ATACGAGAGAAAATATATCAGAAAAAATCATATCATGAAATATTTTTCTCAAATACAGATATTTAAATTAAACAGTGTACCACGGGTTAAAAATAACCGAATTCTTTGAATATAGAATAAAATGTACAAAGTTTGGAACGATCAAACAGTGCATGATAGATCAAGCGAAATCTGTTTTTGCATCAAGAACTCGTTCACTTCTTTGATTTTCATTTAATTCATGTGAACCCCGCACGGGTTTTTTTCTTTTACTCATATCTTTAGATGAAATTCACCAATTAGTGTTTCTACTTGTATTTAATCCCTAAATCAACATTCTTATAATAAAATTTGCATCGAATCCAATAATTTCACGGGCTTTTTCCAACAACTCAGCAATATTACTAGCTTCGGAACGATCTGAATTTTGTTCTTTATTTAAATCCTCACGACCATTTAATCGTGTAAAACACAACACTTTTTTCATCAATTCGTATCAGCGATTTTAGTTTTTTCAAATTTAACACAAAATTATATATTTGATGTTTATGAAAATGGAACAATTGCACACTTTTTCTTTTATTTAAATGGGTGTAGCTTTAACACCAGCCATCCAATTTACATAAAATTAAGTGCGTTTGAAAGATGATGAATGTATCTTCTAAATATTGCTAATGATTATTGTGTAAGATTTAAATATAAAGTTCCGTTATTTTTGGGACACACTTGTATATTAAGGGGGTATTCTAGTCTAGAGACATGAATTTCAGGTAATTTTTAAAGTGTTGTAAAAAAAAAGCAATCAGTATTTTTACGATCGATTTTTTTATCAGTTATTTATTGATGTTACAAAGTACAGAAAAAAATTTAAAAAATAAGTTAAAATTTAAAAAACTGGCAAACAAAAGCTTTAAAAACAAATGCTTTTTGTTACCATTTTTTATTTTATGGTTTTTTTTAAAAATAGTAAATATAAAATAAAAAATAAAAATTTGAAGAATATATGTATATATAATATATCTATAAAGAGGATTCTCTAAAAAATTTCAAGTAAATCGGTCCACTAGAGCTCGACAAATCGTGAGTATCGCATGGAGAAAGTCTGGTCTGAGAAAAACGCATTTAAAGTTTCGCGTAAAGTCTTTTGTTGGATTAGACCCAGCCGGACCAGTAAAATGTCTATATCTCCGAAAATAATTTACATTTTTAAAAATCCTCTCGTAGACATATTCTTAAATATTTAAACTTTAAAAATATGAAAAAATCGATTTTTTGGAAATTTTACACTAGAATACCCCCTTAATATTCTGAGTACCGGTTTAACTTTAATCGTTTCAGTATATTTTAAGAGTCAGAAGATTAAAAAAAATTCAAATTCATACAGCATTAACGTGTAATAAATTTTGTTGAATACAACCTGACACTAACTTGCAATATTCTACATTTGTCGGATAATACCGAGTATCACTTTTATGAAACGCTCAAATATAGATATGGAAGTATATGTTTAAATATTAATAGTGATACGGATATGTCAGCTCGATTACTACTCGATTTAGTAAAAAACTCCTCAAACAAAATGCTTTTGAAGAGTTAAAAATAATTTTAAAGATTATTTTCCCTACTTTAGTTTTAGTAACGCTTGAAAGAAAACACTGTACATACTGTTGTCGCAGATACTTGTATACAGACGACATTGACACACGTTTATTGGCACGTTTTAACGGAAGTAGTGCGTCAACAATTGGATGGTCTGCACTTGAGGTGCCCTGAATCGGCATTCGGACTTTCAGAAAATCGTGGTGCTTAACACTTGCCAATTTGTTTTCTTCTACTTCTCTACTCTTCTACTTTTGCCTGTTTGCCGATTGGTTTGAGTTACAAGCTGACTGTTTTATGACCGGAACTTGGGTCACGCTTTCGAATAAGCGAAAACAAACTTTGCCGACGATGACAGTAACAAAACACCAATGCTATGCAAACAATACCAATGACACAACAGAGATGACGAATGAAAGACTATGACAATGACGACAATGTCGCCTCACCCACTTCAATTTACAATACAAAAATCAAATATCACACTTGTAGCAGTGATCGAGCTTAGTTTCATTTCGATTTTGAACTTTGTTGCAGATGGAAGCACAGGCACAGCAACAATTGCAGCAACAGCAACAGCAACAGGTACTTGCCAAACAAGCACAACAACAGGTGCAACAGCAGCAACATTTATTAACCAACATCAAAACGGAAGTGAATAGTGGTGATACTCAATTGCCAACTGTCACAACAACAACAACATTGCAAACACAAAAAACCGCTACAGCATGTGCTGAGGAACAGCAGCAAGTTGCGCAGGACTTGAATCAAACACAAACTGTGCAGCAACAAGTCGCACAGCAATCAGCTGCACAACAACAACAGATTTCTAGTCAATCAAAGCCACTGACGCCTAATCAATCTCAAGAACAAAAACAACAGTTACAGCAGCCAACTGCAAACGTGGCCACATCGGTGGCTTCGATTACCGGCACTCAACCAACATCCAGTGAGGATACATACACCATACCGCTGCCGCGCAACTCGCAACAGCGACGAATACTGACAACAGCGGGCACATTGTGAGTAAATTCTAAACAATATTTATTAATTTTGTTGATAATAGTTAAGTGTGGCTATTCTTTTGAAGACTGGTGCAAAAAAAAGAAAATCTCAATAGAGTATGATAGAAAATACTTTTTATTTTTAAGGCTTATAAGCATAACAGCAGCAAAAGGTTTTGATTTTGATTAGTAGTTTATCGTAGCGGCACTTCACTTAAGGACCAAAATCAAAAATTCGCCATTATTTTAAAAGTTTGAATTACTTGGAATCTAAAATGTCACTCTTTTGTTCTTTTCGTAAACGTGTCGATAGTGAGGAAAACGATAATCGTGAAGCAGAGGGGCCCGACTTACAGTCTGAATACCATCATCATCAATCGCCCGCCAATTATGTGGTAATGGCACCACGCAATGAAGAGCATCCACCGCCTGGCACCGCCGTCTATACGTACACCACCACAGAGAATGGTCAACAGATTATATGCACCGAAACTGGTGCAGCCATTAAACTTGAAGATATCGAAAAGGATCAACACTCTACTGCAGACGCACAACAACACCATCAACAACAAATGCAACAGCAGCAGCAGCAACAACAACAACAACAACTTTGTACGCCAGCAGGTAGTGGCTATGGTGAAACAATCGTTGTTTCAGCAGCCGCATTACATCAACATCAAAATCCACATGGCGTCATTAATGCCTCGACACACGGCGGACATCCGGGTGCGCAATTACGTTTCGATCCTGACGAACGCTACAGTAATGTGCTACAGGATAATGGCAACGTACAAACTATTTACTATAATCCTGCGGCGGTCGACTCGACCGCACATCCCGTTGAGGCAAAGACGTTTACAGATCTTGGTAATACCGAGTACTATTCGAGTCCTCCCACATACGCACTGCCACCGCCTAATAATGGTCTATATAGTGTTTCGGGTTCAACACAGTTGATTTGTAAATCGGATCCAAATTTAGGTGCCATGCGACAGTCGGGACAGTTTCAGTCTTTAATGGAATCGGGCGTACAAGAGCAATCGATGTGGGCGTCATCAGCTGTAGAATTCTCGGGATATGTAAGTACATATTTCAAATATTATATAAGACTAGTTATACGAAAGTATCTTTGTTTTTACTACTTCACGACAAAAGTACGCACATACAATATTGGTAAAATTCATTTGTCCTTGTTTATGCATCTAAAATCCAAATTCTACACCTTCTTTTGCTTCCACACATACGGAAATATTATAGAATACATATCACCATCAGGTAGTTGATGACTACGGCTCCGGCAATATGACCACTACGCATTGGCCAGGCGCGGGACCAATCGCTGCTTACGAGGCATCGCTCGTGCCGACTGTCTATGAGTCTCCCAAGTGTGAGAACTGTGGCGCCCTCTACATACGGAAAGGCAACGATTTCTACTGTCCTACGGGTTGTAATCAACTGCGGCCGACCCATGTGCGCGTACCAGCACGTCAAACGAAACCGAAAATACCAGCTAATACCAACAATCGTCGTACTGGCGTCACCTGCGCCAACTGCAACACCACGACGACAACGCTTTGGCGGCGTAACAACGAAGGCAATCCTGTGTGCAACGCTTGCGGACTCTACTTCAAGCTGCACAATACGAATCGGCCGCAATCAATGAAGAAGGATGGCATACAGAAACGTAAGCGTAAACCAAAGAATAACGGTGGCATGACGTCCATGAAACCGCTACCATGTAAGTAAGAGTTTGACGAAAATCCTTCTCTTTATAACTGTCTTCATTCGCTCACTCACTCAAAGTAAATGACTACTCACACACAGCGTTGCCAGGCATGCCACAGAATGTGACGCTGATGACACCTAACGGTACGATTTACCCTTCACAAGTATCCGCTTTAAGTTTGCCGATGAATGGCGGTGTTGGCGCGGGTATTCTTGGTGGTGGCCAACAATCGTTGTCAGGTGAAATACGCGATATGTCCGTAAATGGTAATGGCAGCAGTGCGGCTGCCGGCGCAGTATCCACCGGAGGTGTTGGTGGAAACGTCGTTGTGGCGAGTAGCGCGGGGAGCTCAGTAACCGGCACCGGACCACGTAACGCCTCGATTGTACAACACGTGACTGGCGACAGTCATTCACCGTATAGCAACCCACCGTCGCAAAGTCAATCGCCGCACTTATCGAATGCATCGCCGCTAAATCGACAACCGATCCCACAAAGGTCAGTGGCAGAAAAGTGTTATTTTACTTAGATTTTTTTTTTTTACAATTTTCTTCGCTCATTTCATTTAGTGTGCAGTCGATCGAAGCTACACGTTCGTCAAATGGTGAGATACCGACAAGCGTCATAACGCGCACTGGACTACCCGAACGTTCCTCGAATAATTGAGCGGCATGTGGCCCTCACATTCAAAATTTTTGAATTTGCCAATAATAAATAGACCAAAGCGTACGTGTAATTTGTTTTTGTAAAATATGCACACTTGCAATATTATTTTTGTTTTTTGTTGAAAAATTACTTTTACTTTCATGGAAATTGATACTTTTAGCTTAAAAATACTTCTAGCACAAACATGTAAATATATTTAAGTGCCAAAATTACCATACTGACTAAAAGTAGTAGAGGGGTTTACATAATCCCAGCAATGCCTAAAAATATAAATTATAGAATAAAAAATTATATACTAATTGTGTGTAAGCACTAATACATACATAATTCATTATTTAATTTAATAAGTTTTGTAAATTAATTCGTTTTAAACTTGCGTATAAATGATAATAGTAATAATAATAATTATTATTATTATTATTATAATTTTAATAAAAATAATAAATATAAATATATTTTAGAAAAATTTTAGTTTATCTTAAACGAAAAGAATGTGGCGATAGAGTAAATTCTAAACTGTTAGAGCGCAGCAGATAACGGAGGTCTTGATAACTGCACTTATAAACCACTCATATGTAAGTGAGAAAATTCAATTCAAAATTCAATAATTGATACGAACTGACATTCTGAAATATATTTTACCTGAACGCAATAACTCGTGAGAGATGATCAAATAAGAAAACACGAAATAGTTGTAATAAAAATCCAAAATTCAAAAGTGTCAATTTTCTTCGTACTTATTTGATAATGTATCAAAAAAAAAAAAAATACTGAAACATATCTGATAACATTTTCTCTTGCTAAATATTTATTTAAGTAGTTTGCTAATAATTTTATGTTACTAAATCCATCCATTAAAAAACCGAATTATGTCAAAAAATGAAATATGAAATGAAGTAGAAATACCTATGTATAAAAAATTGAATTTTTAATAATATAATAACGTAATATATAATATATATATACGCACAGGGAATAACAACTAACACCTAGTTAAGATAACGTTTAGTAATTATTACCATTATGCAAAAGTTAAAACTAAACAGCTAAATTCAATATGTTTTTGTTATGATTTTGTAATAAAAACCGCTATAAACTGCTTTTTGCATATGGAAAGGCTACTAGACGGAAGTATAGTCATTATATTTGAGAATATGTTAGAAAAAATTATTTAGAAATAAATAAAAAATAATTATAACGGTAAATTGAAACAAGAAAAAACGTTAACTTCGGTTGCACCGAAGCTATAATACCCTTCACAAATAGTTAGAGCTTACAAGAATTTGATTTTGATCGATCAGTTTGTATTGTAGCTATATGATCTAGTGAACTGATCAGAACAATTTTTTCGGAGATTACATTGTTGCCTTAGACACAAAACTCCTGCCTAATTTCATAAAGATATTACATCAAATAAAAATTTTCACACACAAGTGTATGCTATAGTGGTCCAATACAGATAGTTTGTATATATGCAGACAGACGGACAGACAGACGGACATGGCTAGATCAACTCAGCTCAGCATGCTGATCATTTATGTATATATTTTATAGGATATCATACGCTTCCTTCTGGGTGTTAGAAACTTTGTGGCAAACTTAATATACCCTGTTCAGGGTATAAAAATATGTCATGTATGTTGGAGGCAATATTATGCTACGACCTAGTGAACGACCCAATAAATTTATTTGTTAGACAATCTGAAAAAATCCAGTGTTTCATAGTTTTAAGCGTTTTGTTGCTATTAAAATACCAAGCGCAAAAAATTTATTTTAATTTTTTTTTGGTAAATAGAAAGTTTGTTAAAATCTTTTTGTTCTTAATAATGAACTCTACTCATATATGTATGTATGTTAAAAACGCAAAAACAAGTAAATAATAATTTTGTTCCTGCGTGTTTCTATTATCTTTTTCAACACTGTATATGGTTGTAATGCACTTGTGCGAACTAAATTGAATAGCTATTATAAGATGCTAAATAATTGAGAACAATTTGATTATTATCATATATATTTTATGCATATATTTTACAATTTTGCATTTAAAAGATTACTTGTACTAGAAGCATTTATCAATGTTATTCGAATGTTTGCTGCCTCTACTTCTTTCTTACCTCTTACGCCGCCTTATTCCCTTAAAATGACAAGAGTCCTTTCTTTGTGATGTGCGAATTCACTTGGCAGTAAAATATTTTGTAGACACCTAAGTTGCCATATAAAAATAAATGAGTTATAAGCCAAATTATCGTTAATGACATAATTTATTAATTCTCAGGCGTAGTATGCGGCGCTTGGCCGTCAATAAATACCAACCTTGAGTCCTCTATGGGATTCATACTCGTATTTCATTGTCAACAATTTGGCAGTAACCAAATTGAACCAAATTAATTTTAATGACCACAACAAAAAGGGTCAACAAAGGTGCATCCATATACCTGAAAAAAGTAAAACAAAAAAACACTCAAGAAGGTCGAAACAAAGAGCAATTGCAACAACAATATAAGGCGCGTTAGTGAAGAGAAAACACATGGACGAGCTGCGCGTATAAAAACAGAAATCCTAAATAGCGATTCGGTGTAGACGCTTAAAAGCCTGGCGCGGCGCAAAAGCGATATAACGGCAAGCGGGCGGCTAGTCGCACAAACAAATCATACCACTCCACCACTCTTCGACATATGGTGCGACGCATACGTTTGCTCATCACACCGTAGCAGCGCTCATTTGCACCGTCATTTGCTTACGCATGTGTATGTGTGAATCAACGCCACCAACGCCAATGACAAAATCAACGACGCACACCACCAACATTGCCGTTGACATTTTGCCGACTTTGATGCCGCAATTATGGCACAATGACCACTGTACTCGTGTGGTGGAGCGTAAAGGGGCGAAACAGCGCTCCGCTCGCTAAGGTATGCATGTATGTGAGGGTGTCAATTGCAGGACGATTGCAACAAAGATGCAAAAAGTATTCTTAACGCCATGATGCGGTGGCGTACGCACGATCAATTAGGCAAACTTGTTTTACGATCGTTTTAACGACCGTTGGGGTCTTGTTGCGTAGCGGTCTTCAAGACGCTCCACTTAGCGTGTTAATATACGTGAACGCGTACGGATTGCTGACACTGTGGAATGGAATGTGGACTATGAGTTGCATGCATTGTATAAAGCACACTTAAATAAGTCATTTTTAAACAAAATAAAAATGTATATATATATTAACGTGGAGCGAAAATTTTGTTTTTTTTTTGTTTTTTGCTTAGACTGAGAGTAAATTGTAGATTATAAAAAAGAAAATTTTGGATATAAAAAAATTTACTTTAAAATCTTGGGGCACTCACTTTTAAAGTAAATTTCGAGTTAAATTTTTTTTGGACAAACAAAGTTTTATTAGTTTAAACTATACACATTTATAATAATAACTACCGCATTTGACGGCTTTTGACTCAAATTTCAAATATTTTAACGCTAAAGGAAAACATGTTGTTATATATATGTTGTCGTTCAAGACTTTTTTTAAAACTCCTATAATGACCCCAAAAATTTGTTTAAGTTGATAATTTTAATTGGCCAGAGAGAGAATCTCCACAGCGTTTAGAAAACTTATCAAAATTTTTACGAATAAAATTTAAGTCGAAAATTTACTTTAAAAGTGATGTTAAAAAATTTTTTTTATTTCCAAAATGTTCTGCTTTTATAATCTAAAAATTGTACACTCAGATTTTTTTTTTGCTCCACCGAATATATATACCTATATATGTATATATATATTCTATATATATTTGACTTATATTTACACATTTTTATAGCAACACTCGTTTGTGTGCGTTTGTTCTATGAAAATTTTGCAAGGAAGATTAAGCACACATTTATCCAATTGAGTGAAATATACGAGAGTACGATTATGTGGTTAAATCATTCAATTGCTCTAACTGTTGCTAATATAACTGATATAAAATTGAGTTATTGGCGTATAACTGCATAAAGCTGAAAGTATAGCTGTCTTCGATTCAGCATTTCACTGCTCGCTAGGCAAAAGCTTTACGTGTGAAAGCAGCAAAAAAAGCTCGCGAGTTGAATTCGATAAAAGGGCGTACGCGTCGTAGAAAACAACTTTATTTACTTTTACCCATTCGTTGTTTCGAATTTTTGTTTAGTGATTCCATTAGAATCGGTGAAGTACTTATTCTCACTTGCAAGCGCATATAATTGAAAACTATTTCTGTTAATAGTAGATGATCATTGTTTATACTGATATAGTCTGCTACCGTTCGTGTGTACGCATTTCGATGCAACCATGCATATCTGATTGATTCGGTGAGCTGAACGCTTAAAGTTTTATCTAAGCTGAGTGAAGGATTTAAGCGCATTTTTCTTGTCGTTTGTCTGTAAGCAAATTCTTGATGGAATCACTGCCAACGAAACATGTCCAAACAGCTACAGACTTTGTTGTTTAATCTCTTAAGTTGCTTAAGTGGCGCCTAAGTGCGCGTTGAGGTCGTTGCGTCAGTGTGTCAGCGGCGAATTGGGACTCAGCTTTTAAGTGCGCGTCGTCGTTGTACTCGGATCAGGTAAAGGAGCCAGTAACAGTGTAGACGACAGTGTCGCTGACTAGGAAAAGGTAAAGAAAGTAAACTCACAACAAAAGTAAAAGAACGAACGCAACGCATAGGTCAGTAATATCCATGGTGCTTGTGTATTGTATTATGGAGCTTCGTGGTGGTCACTTAAAAATTTAAATGAAATGCAACAACGCTGACAGTTCATTCTCTTTACAACCGCTTTTAATAGTTATATGCACTTTAGTCTTCACTATTTACATATATGCATCAATGATGTATATTACTATGACTGTATGTATGTATATTACTATGTACATATATGCATACATATGGTATGTATGTATGTTTGCATATATGTAATGCAAATTAATACTGCGGTTAAGTGTGAGGCATCGGGCAAAGCATTTAATCTGGTCGCACTCCTCCACGGCAATTAATTGCTGTTGTGGTAAAGTGCTCGTCGAGGGAAGCTAAAGCGCACGAACACAGCTACTTTTGAACAAGCGTCTTTCGTTAGCGCGCGCGCATCGAGACTAAAATGCAATTAAGTTAAAAGTCGTGTGACGACAAAATTTAATTCATCATCGCAGTGTAGCGCCACCCGTTGCGGTGCACATAGCAAATGAGCGTGAGTATGAAGTGCGTCACATTGAACTGATTAGAATTGCTGTTGATGTGTAGACGCCTGCCATGGTACTCGTGGCAGTCTTATTCGCACGTTTGTTGGCATGGCGTGGCGTGGCATAGCGTGGCGTGTTTAACTCACTTCAAAGCAACTTGTCATAATTTGTGATAAAGTTGAAACTTTTTATGAAACTGGCCTTT